TGTAATTAAATAGCAAGAAGAAAACTTATTTAATTTTGTTTAATGTGGCATTTCTTAGACATTTTTTAAAAATTTAAAAAATTGTAATATATAGCAAAATTGACAATTTTAGCCATTTTTAAGAGTATAGTTCAATGACATTAAGTATATTCACATTGTAGTGCAACCATCGCCACCATCAGTCTCCAGAACTTTTTCATCTTCCCAAATTTAAACATGCTTTAAAAATACTCGACATTCACCTCTCCCTCCAGCCCCTGGCATCTGCCATTCTGCTTTCTGTCTCTATGAATCTGACTATACTAGGTGCTTCATATAAGTGGAATCATATACTTTGTCTTTTTTGTGACTTACTTCATTGAGCATAATCTCCTCAGGGTTCATCCATGTTGTGGCTTGTGTCAGAATTTTCTTCCTTTGTAAGGCTGAAGAACATCCTGTTGTACGTATATACCACATTTTGTTTATCCATTCTCTGCCAGCTATTTTTAATGACTGTGTAGTATTCTGTTACTTGGATGTGTTGTGACATACTCATTACTGATGGATGTTTAGGTTATTTTCAGACTTTCAGTATAATAAATAATCCTGAGATAAATATTTTTACGTAGTTATCTCCTAAGGGAAAATCCTGCAAGTAGGGTTGCCCAGAAGGTACTCATACTTTGATAGATGATGCCACATTACCCTCTAAAAAGTCTCAATTTTAATTCATTTTTACAGTGCATGAGAGGACTCATTTCTCTGAACCCTGCCAACGTTATGTTTTAAAAATCTTTGATCTTTGCACAACTGATTAGAGAGAATAACTTGTTTTCATTTGTTTTTGGAATATCTTTGTCTTAGAAATCAAATCTACCTTCAAATGATAATTCGCTGCTCTTAAAGTGATTTTGGTTCTGAAATGTAGTGTTGGGGTAAGTTGATGGTGTCCCAACGTGACAGGTCTTTGGTTTTGTTTTGTTTTGTTTTTAAGGATTTTATTTGTTTGTTAGAAAGGCTTGATCCCAGTACCCTGGGGTCATGACTTGAGCTGAAGGCAGACACTTAACCAACTGAGCCACCCAGATGTCCCCCAAGGTGACAGTTTTGAAAGGCACATTGAAGACAGTCTCTTGTATCTGTATTAATGGAAAAGCAATCCTTTCTTTATAATCATACTATATATGACATATTCATAGATGACTTATCTCTACAACAAAATTATATAGTCTTTGGAAGTCAGACAGCAACTGTTGCTGAATTTTTGCCTTGGGTAAGATGCTTGTTGCGAGAAGGGATGTGGTGTTGTGTCTCCTTACTTTTGGAACTTACAGCCCAAGTCTTCAAATACATGTCATGGTAGGTGGAAGGCACACTTCCCAGGGCAGACTTCTTGGAATTCTCTATGAGAACTGGTATTGGATAATACTTGTTGAGTGAATCCTACAGATTCCTCATTGTATGAAGTCACAGTATACCAATAGAGAAGATATCTGTTCCTTTTGGGGATTTTGGGACCTCTGTTCTACAGGGGTAAAGTTAGGGACTTCGTATGTGCCTTCAGAAGTATTTGCCCATAACTCTTTTCTTCATAAGGGGTGATGGAGCAGATCTATTTTCCTAAAACACACACACACACACACACACACACACACACACACACACACACACATTCTGATTCTCTTGAGGGTACTCAAGTATACTTTTGTTGCTTTGCCCTTTGCCATTTGACTTGTTAGTGCCAGAACACCTAAATGTGTTGCCTCTCGCTCAAGCCCTTGTTTTTTGCAAGGGATAGTTACTCAGTATGAAATTGAAAGCATCTGTCCCTTCGCTACTGACTAGCGCCTTACTCTACTGGGGGAGACACTGGGATTGCTACGAGGATGTCGGCAGTTTTGACCATCTGTGATGTTCTGATTTTGTTACAAAACAAATATTCTCATAAGTAATTCCATGATTGTATACATCTCTTTGTGGTTTTATAAGTAATTCTTATTTTTACAGGTGAAATTTAAATGCTCCCCTGTGATTCTGTAATGTTTTTCTGATTAATACACTTAAAATGGTAGGCTGACATTAATATTTCTGAGACTTGGAGGGATCTCATTGTATTAGGAAATACACTAGGACAGTATTAGGTTCTAAACTTAAAAAAAAAGATTTGTTTATTTGTCAGAGAGAGAGCAAGCACAAGCAGGGGGAGCAGCAGGCAGAGGGAGAAGCAGGCTCCCCACTGAGCAAGGAGTCCGATGCAGACTCAGTCCCAGGACCCTGGGATCGTGGCCTGAGCCCAAGGCAGATGTTTAACTAACTGAGCCCCCCAGGCATCCCTAGGTTATAAACTTCTTGATTCAGGGGTGCCTTACCTTGGCATTTCCCATTAACCTCAGTGTAAAATAATGACTCACTAAATATATTTGAAGGAAAAAATGAAGATTAGTGTAATTCATTTGATTAGAGATGTTCCTCAGTTAAACTTTCTCTTAATCTCAGTATCTTTATTTTAAGATCTACCAAGTGATGTCAGTAGACTGTTACTAGACAAAAATTTTTAAAAACCTCTGTTGGTTATAATGATTTATTAGCTAGATTTCCCACTATGTTCCATTTCTAGAAGAAACAAATGACAAGAAAATCTAGTGTTGTAGGTCTTTCTAAAAATAAAACTTTCTGGGACTGTTCTGGGGACATAATCATTCCAGCTTTCATGTTCCTTGCATCTCATAATGATTTTAGAGGAGGAGAAAGGTGACCCAGGTGACATGCAGAGTCCTCTGTCAGAAAGGAAGCACACATTATTTTACGTGCTGTGCACTTACTAAAGAAGGATGAATATTGATATATTTTAGGATTATTTTAAATAAGAATTGAAAGCTGAAGTTAGCAGTGATTATTTTTACCATCATCTTTGTTATTATTAATTGCAGCCAATATTTAATTATGTGTCAGGTTCTCTTTTGAGCACTTTCCCTACATTATCTTATATATCCTCTCATTCCTGGAATTCCGTTTCATTAATGAAGAAAGAAAACAGGCTCAAAGAGGTTAAGGTTATTTTTTTTTTTTTAAGATTTTATTTATTTATTTGACAGGGAGAGCTCGCAAGTAGACAGAGAGGCAGGCAGAGAGAGAGGGGGGAAGCAGGCTCCCTCCTGAGCAGAGAGCCCGACGTAGGGCTCGATCCCAGGACCCTGGGATCATGACCTGAGCCGAAAGCAGAGGCCTTAACTCACTGAGCCACCCAGGCGCCCCGGTTAAGGTTATTTTGACTGAAATCACATAGCCAGCAAGTGGTAGGGTGAGGATTTGAACCCAGTTTGACCTGTAGGTCCTTATCCTGACCAGTGTCCTCTAATACAGTAGCCCCCCCCTCATCTGCAGGGGGTGCACTCCAAGACTTGCAGTTGATGCCTGAAACCATGGATGGTACCAAACCCTATGTGTACTATTGTTTCTCCTACACATACCTAGCTACGATAAAATTTAATTTTCGAATTAGACACAGTAAGAGATTAACAATGATAATAAAACAGAACAGTTACAACAATATACTGGAATAAAAGTTATGTGAATGTAGTCTCTCAGAATATCTTACTATACCACGATCAGTGTTCTTGTGATGATGTGAGGTGATAAAATGCCTACATGATGAGAAAAAGTGAGGTGAATAACATAGGTATTGTGACATAGCATTAGGCTGCTAATCTATTTTCTTAAAGATTTTATTTATTTGACAGAGAGCACAAGCAAGGGGGAGGGTTAGAGGGAGAGGAAGAAGCAAGTTCCCCACTGAGAGGGGAACCCAATTCGGGACTTGATCCCAGGACCCTGGGATCAGGACCTGAGCCAAAAACAGACAATCTACTGAGCCACCCAGGCTCCCCTAGGCTACTATTATTGACCTGATGATACATCAGAAGGAGAATCATCTGCTGTTGGACCTCTGTTGATCACGAGTAACTGAAATTGCAGAAAATGAAACCACAGATGAGGGGAGACTGCCATATTTTCTTTTTTGAATATTCCCATTAAATTGAGGAGGTACCTCAGTTTCCAGAATAAACATCATATTGTTTCCAGAATAAACATCATTTTAGTTTCAGCAGGATTAAGGAAGCAGTTCTTACGTTGAGGTTTCTAAGAAACTAATTTGGTAGTAGAGAAGTTTGATTAATAAAGTTTATTTTAAAATGCTAGGACACCGGGTGGCTCAGTCAGTTACACATCCTACTGTTAATATCGGCTCAGGCCTTTGTCTCAGGGTCCTGAGATCGAGCCCTATATGAGGCTCTGCACTGGGCGTGGAGCCTGCTTGAGATTCTCTCTCTCCCTCTGCCCCACCCTTCCCCTCTTAAATGAAATGAAATAAAATAAAAGCATAATACTATCTTAAACCAGAAGAAAGGAAAATGTATTTATTGAACAAAATTATTTTGGTGGTTCATTTTTTATTAATTCCTAGTAACTGAAGTATTGTCTGTGTTCTTTTAGTTACCTCACTGCCATATGACAAAGGGGGAAATGTAAACGGAAGAAGTACAGGTTCACACTTTTGCACATAATTTGAGGAAAATACAACTTATTCCCCCATGACCTTATAAAGTAATGAGGAGACTGAATGGAGTTGAAGGGAGAAAGAAAGGAAAATTTATTGTTTTTTTAACAGTAATTATGTGCTTTGAGTGGCCTAAGGAGTCACTATTACTTGTTTTGCAAGAGAGGAAGCCATCCTCTCTGATACCATGGAGATCTCATTGACTAGAGCTGTAGCCCCTAGTGCTTATAAGGATTTCCTTTCAGCCTAGATTTAATCCTCGTAAGCTCCTAGGTACAGCGATAAATGTTGATTTTCAAGGTACCATTTTACTAATTTGAATTTGTTTGAAAAATGATTCCGTCATTTTCTTCCTCATTCTTAAATATTGCTGTGTACATCATGTTTCCAGGGAGGTGAGCACGTGAAACAATATGAAGAGGAGAAAATAGCCTTTTAAGGAAATTGGCCCACAGAAAGGATGGCCTTCTTGGACAATCCAACTATCATTCTAGCTCATATTCGACAGTCACATGTGACCAGTGATGACACAGGAATGTGTGAGATGGTTCTCATTGATCATGATGTTGACCTAGAGAAGATTCATCCTCCTTCAATGCCTGGAGACAGTGGGTCAGAAATTCAGGGAAGCAATGGTGAGACTCAGGGCTATGTGTATGCCCAGTCAGTCGATATTACCTCAAGTTGGGACTTTGGTATTAGAAGACGCTCAAATACAGGTAAACATTGCCTTTTAGTCATGTCTTCTGAACTTTAAATCAGTCAATAATCTTACAGAACAATGCATAATGTTGGAATAGGCTTAGGGGGGAAAGTTTCTGTGTATTAACAGGAACATGATTAAACAACATCTCCCTCTCTCTAAATGGAGAGTGCCTCTGGAATGATGCTACTAGAAGGAAGTAGAAGACGAACAGATGAAAAAGGTGACTCAGAGAAGCATGTTGGATGTTCTGTTTCTAAAACGTCCTCATGTAGAAAGGGAAGTAGACTTATTTTGAGTATCTTCACAGAGCAACATTAGTCCCAGTGGGTAGACTACCTGGTGGCAGTTTTCAGGTTGACAAAATAAAGAACCTTTAATTCAGAGAGCTGACCAGCCAAGGAGTGCTGCTGCTGGAGCCTTTTCTTGGCCCTGGAGGGACTGGGGGGAGCTGGGCGGGGGATTGGAGGTAAACACCTGAATATTTGTTAGGACTGCTGTTAATAGGAATTCCTACACTGGGTGTGAGACTAGAAAAGATGCCCCTGTTTTTAGTATATTATCTTTATTAAGTTGCTCTCTACCCTTTGATCTTTGTGGCTTGAAAATGCTAAACTTTGATACGTACATATTCAGTCATTAGCTTTTAAAAGCTTATCATTACCTATTTTCTAGCTTATGTGTTTTGGAAACCTTTCAAGGCGAATGTGATGAACTAAGGCCTTTACTTAGATAAATTATTTAGAATATGTAATGTAGTTCTAATATGACAGGGTGTGCTAGGAGGTGATTTTTATTACATAATCAGAAAATAAAATCTCTGCTAATCAGTAGCGGTAACCTGCTAACTTCCAGGAAAAGTAATGACAGGAGATGTGGTAGAACATTGAAAATATTTGCATGTTTATATTTGTGGTCCAAATGTAAAATGCACATAAAGGAGTACCGCAGGATACAATATACAATGCAAGGCATGTTAAGGTTTTGGTTCAGAATTCAGCATTCTGTGACATCTCCAAAGAATAATTTGCTCTCATGATGATAATAATTAATAGCATTTCCCAGTATCTCAAGGAACTTTTATCAAAATAGGGTTTGAGTGAAGGTTTGAATATAATTTAGAACCATTGATTCTCAGTTCTCTAGTTGAAACTGACTTCCTTGCAAGTTATTGAGATGATATCTTATATGACAGGTTGAATGGATTTCAGTAGGAGAATGCTGCTGAATTGAGAGTTTTATGATTATATTACTTTGGCTGTACCCTTCACATTTATTAATTGCAATTGAATGTATTTTCCTTCAATGGCGTTTGGTTCGAATGTGACATTGTCAGAATGCTTTTGCTGGCACAGTTTACATTTATGGCAAGATTAGTTTCAGTGTTTCCCTACCACAATGCTAAGGTGAGCGTATATGATTTTCTACATTGCAAGAGGTTGAAAGAGAAATTTACTTATTTATTTTTTGTTACCATTGTGCTAGGAAAGGAAGTTGAAGATTAGCCAGAGGAAACTAATCTCAAGAAATGGTATCAGTTATGACTTTCTTTTCCATTGTGGTTTCCATATGCAGTTGTTAATATATGCTAAACAGTATTTCTTTAAAAGATCAGTTCTCTGATTTTTGGAGGTTGATCGGCCAGTGGTAATATAATCTCACAAATGCATGATTTTAGGTGATGCTTTTGTTATTGTTGTTGGAATTTCTTAAGATAGCACTTAGATGCTAATAATTACAATTGTGGTGTGTCCTAGTGACCAAAGAATTTACTTTTTAATCCTTTCAGCATATCTTAAAATTTTGTATAAGAAAAATTATTCTTTTTAAGATTTGACTAATGTTACAAAGATACAAATCATTTATTTTACTACCTATAAACTGTTTCAGCCCACTGAAGAAAAGCTATGCTAATTTATATAGCTTTGACATTTTATAATTTTCATGATTTTTAGATAAAGGATTTTATATTTAAAACTTTAATAGTCTAGTCTGAGTTCATTTATCTTTAATTTTTGAAACGGGTAGAGTAATTCATAACAGTAATTTTATTCCTGTAATGTAATATTCACTTCAGTTCATTTGTGCATTAAAATTCCTTTAAGACCGTTATTAATGATTTATATAATGAAATGTCATATTAATCACAGAAGTTTTCACATTTTATTATTCTCTTCCATGTTAATACTATCTTTATGATCTCTATTAATGTTTTATATCCTCTAATTTCAATTATAAATCAAGAATATTTTTGTGTTTTTGTTGGTATTTGCTTTTCAGGGGTGCCACCTTTAAAATTTTATGACTTTTTCCCTACATATGCAATATAAAACATCTTTATTCATATAAAGGTAGTTAATTATGTCTTTGTTTATAGTAAACTTTCATTGACAAACTTATAGTTATAATATTTCTTTTCAAGCTCAAAGATTAGAACGACTCCGAAAAGAGAGACAAAACCAGATCAAATGCAAAAATATTCAGTGGAAAGAAAGAAATTCTAAGCAATCAGGTAAATGGCAATAATTTTAATTGTTAATTTGAGATTTATATATTTAGTTTATATTATTAAGTAAGAGCTTTTATTTTTTAATTCATCTTTTTAAATCCTCTGAGCAGATACCTCTTGTGTTTTGAGCTTTGAATGCTTTCACTTGGGTGCCTTGGACCTTTGACGCCATGTGTTCTTTAGGTCTTGTGTTTTTGGTCACTCTTCATTCTGGGTCATAGGAATTGGTGTGTGCAAGGCACATTTTGTACAAACTCTCATGCCAGTACCTTGTTCTTAGCGCCAAGGAATACCTGTGGTTTGGGTGGGCCTCTGGGTTATAGATTCCTCCTGGCAGTTCCAGCCTAGACTTTCCCTTGCCTCATTAGTGGCCACAATAATAATCAGCATATGTGCTGATTCTTTTCCTTTAGTTTAACAAGAACTATGGTGCTGGTATTATCAGCATTTGTGGTTTATGTTCTTATGGTATATGTATTAAAAAGCTGGCCATATTACATATTTTCAAATCTTCAATCTCAACAAGAAGAGAAAATTAAAAACAAAACAAAACAAAATGCTATTGAAGTTTTTCCTAATGTTTATATCATGTGTCCTAGATTTTCTCTTTTTTTTCTCCTTTTAAAGAAATGTCTGCACTTTGTCTTCTATGTCCTTCAGCACCTACTACCACGCTGGCACGTAATAGATGTCCAATTAATTTTCGTTGACTGACTCCTTTGCTACATACTACTTATAAAACTAACAATATTAATGACTGTTACATTAACATCAGCACCTACCTAGTGCTGTTCTAAGCACTTTATACACATTACCTCCGGTGTAGTGATCTTACAAGGTATAGCTATTGCTATTGTTAACAGATGAGACAGAAACTCCGAGAGCTTTAACTTGCTGAAGTGATAAGCCCAGAAAGTGGTAGTGCAGTAGAGCCATATTGTGTATCTAGCTCTATCTGCAGCTAAAGACCAATCTCTTTCTGAGAAAGAAACTATATAAAGTGGTTTTTGCTTTTTCCTGCTGTGGTTGTAAACCACAATGGGTGTGCTCAATGGGTGTGATTTTCTTAATGAAATGACAACTGTATAGAACCAGAAATCTGATTCACTTCTTTCTTACGTCTCATTTCCACAACTTCCTATAGTTCTCCTTGAATATCTATTTAGTTTTGCTCTTGATACTTTAAAAATCTCTCTAGGCTGGCCTTTTCTGTTGATCCAGTTAATACTTCTCTCTTGTATTTATCACAACTGAAAACCTTTATATTGTTTATCTTGTCCGCTTCCTTCAAATTTTTCATGTATCTAATGCCTTTTCTATTCATCTTTTCTTAATGAATATAGAGCTGGTTTATCTAAACTCATCTCTCCAGTTACCCTTTGTTTTGCCTTCTTCACTTCCTTAAGACAATTACAAATAAATAGGATGAGTAGAGCACCTCAGATCTAACTGCATTAATCCCCTTTACCACCGTGGCAAGTTCTTCAACTTAAATTTTGATACATCTCCCACTTACTCCTTAAAGTCTAATCCACTTTAACTTCTGTTCAGTGTTTCACAGAATGTGCTAGAGAAATAAATGGCCTCCTTTTTGCTTTCATTTGGAGCCATACTGTTCATTATTTGTGTATACTTCTCTCTTCCTCAGTTTCCATCCCTCTTATTTCCGTCTCTCACAGATTTCAGTAATTGACCCTGTGATCTTACTGCTGGAAAAGCTCCTTCTTAATATACTTGTCCACCCTTCGAGATGTTGACCTTGAACCAGCCCAGTGAACCTCATCAATGCACAGAGGAATGGTTTTGAATTCTTTGTTCAGCTGGGTTCCATCATTACCACAGGTTGGCACTCTTGGTGTCCTGAAATGTGTTAGAAAAGTGGAGTCAGCAGCAGTGCAATAAACACTGTTTTCATGCCACTCTGTTTTCATGCAAGTCTCAAGCACATACTCTGTTTTGTCAAGAAATGCCACAGCCAGATCCTTTCGATCTTCATTGGGAATTTTGGTTAGATAATCGTTTATTCATTCTCTCATTCTTTTTCTGCTCTTTACATTTCGTTAAAAATTTTTAAACCTGGGATGCCTGGGTGGCTGAGTTGGTTAAGCATCTGCCTTCGGTTTAGATCATGATCCCAGCGTCCTGGGATAGAGTCCCACATCGGGCTCCTTGCTCAGGAGGGAGCCTACTTCTCCCTCTGCCTCTGCCTGCCACTCTGTCTGCCTGTGCTCACTCTCTCTGACAAATAAATAAATAAAATCTTAAAAAATTTTTTTTTTAAAAATCTGTTCTTATTTTTTATTTTATTCCCTACTAGAAAAATCATTATTATGAATGTGATGACCTCCCCTGCAATGTTTTTCTGCATCCCGTCCATCCTTTAAGATATAGCAGAAATGCAGTCTTTTCATAGAAAGTTGGAAGGGATCCGAGAAGCTGTCTGGTCCATACCCTGAAGTTCTCTATGAACTTACTGAGATCACATGATAAAGGGAATATCTTAGAGTAAGATCCTTGTAGTATTTCTGTAGCCACAGCTGGATGGGTGAATGTGAAGGTGGTCGTTGGAAGACAGCTTTGTCAGGAACAATGTCAAATCAAGCCCTGGCATATATATATATATATATATATATATACATATATATATACTCACATATGTGTGTGTATGTGTGTGTGTGTGTCTGTACACACACACACATAAATATGTATATAAAATCTTAAAATATATATATTTTTAGGTATATGTATAATATATATTTATATATATTTTAAGATTTTATTTATTTTTTAAGTAATCTCTACATCCAATGTGGGACTTGAACTCATGACCCCAAGATCAAGAGTTGCTTGCTCTTCTGACTGAGCCAGCCCAGTGCCCCAAGCCTCGGTATTTTTAATTTTATTGTTTTGAAATTGTGTTGGTATATTCTTTGCAAAATTTATTATTACTCTTATTCATTGAGTCATTTAACAAGTGTTTCTTCCATACCTTCTGTGTGCATAGTAATTCTGTGCTAGGTGTTGGGGATTACGTGATTCCTGCCCTCAAGAAATCTGGTCTAGTGAGAAGAAAAAGCGATTTACACAAGAAGTTAAGTAGTAACTCAAGAACAGTGTAGTGTGTATATCAGTTATTTATGATATTCCTGAAGTTTTCTTTGTGTATCCTCTAGTATTGGTTTCTTAAACCAGCAGTTCCTAGAAACGGTGAATGTAAAAATCAGAAATGCATCCAAAAGCGTATGTTATAATGGTTTCCATGTAAATTTCTAGCTTTACCTGTGGAATTCCTAATTCAAAAGATAAAGATCAGGGTCCATAAATCTATATTTTTCAGAAGCTCCCTGGGTGTTTCTTATGAGTAACCAGTGCTGGGGATCACGGGCATATTAAGTATGCCAGCCCATAAGTTTGCTTCCTCTTCATGCAAATCCAGCAACTTAGCTGTTAATACTTCTGTATTATATGTGAGAAAACTGTAACCCAGAGGCTAAGTAACTTTTTTAAGTTACTTACAAGTAGTAAGTGGCAAAGCCAGAATTCTTCTTCTGGCCAGTCCTACCCCAGACACTGTAGTCTTTCTACTCACTTCCATTCTGCCATACTGTTGGCAGAAGAGAGCTGCTCCTGGACTCTGGGTGTGAGGAGGCTTTGTGTTCCCTTACTCCTTTCCTCCTCTGTGTCAACGGTGGCTAGGGTTTAGGAAGGTTGCCAAGGCCTCTATATTAAAAGAAAATTTCGGGGTGCCTGGGTGGCTCAGTGGGTTAGGCCGCTGCCTTCGGCTCAGGTCATGATCTCGGAGTCCTGGGATCGAGCCCCGCATCGGGCTCTCTGCTCAGCAGGGAGCCTGCTTCCTCCTGTCTCTCTGCCTGCCTCTCTGCCTGCTTGTGATCTCTCTGTCAAATGAATAAATAAAATCTTTAAAAAAATAAAAATAAAAATAAATAAAAGAAAATTTCATTACAGGATATCTGAAAGAAAATATAAAAATGAAAACAAGCAACCAATATTCTCACATTCAGAGGAACTGCTGTTGTTAACATTTTGATACATTTTTTTCTAGATTCTATTTACATAGGTATATATATTTTAAATAGTCTAAACATACCTCTTATGATCTTTTTTGTATGTACAAATAGTACATAAATGCAACGTTTTGTCTTGTCACCGTATTGTCCCTGCACTTTTACATTTCTTATTAAGGTAATTTCCAGATGTTTTGTATTTTGTGCTATCCTTACAATTAACGTCTTCTTCCCCATAACTTTTGTTATTGCTCTTGTGAAGAAATCTGTTGTCTTTATCTATTTGTTTTGTATCCAGCCACTCACTGAATCCTTACTAGTTCTAATATACATTCCATATTCCTGAATGCTACTGTAGGTGCTTTCTTATAAGCCTGATGATAATTAAATTTCTAGACTATTGTTTTTTCAGTTCTCTCTGTGTTGGGGACTCCCAACTGATTCTGTTGTTCAGAACCCTTCAGCTGCCAATGACATAGAGCAAGTGAAGTTGAAGAGCATCTTGAAGTTGAGCAACTCAGGAGGTACAGCTGTGTCTTATGAATGGCTTGGAACCAGGGAGGAAGGGCTCTCATTACCAGCCCCCATCTCATTTCTGCTTTTTTGTGCTCATTTCCTCTCTCCTTCCTCCCTCTCTTCTGCCTCCCTATCCTGGCAGCTCTTTCTTTCTTTTTTTTTTTTTCTTTTCTTTTCTTTCCTTTTCTTTTCTTTTTTCTTTCTTTCTTATTAACATAAAATGTATTATTTGCCCCGGGGGTATAGGTCTGTGAATCATCAGGCTTACACATTTCACAGCACTCACCATAGCACACATCCTCCCCAATGTCCATAACCCAGCAAGCCTATCCTTATTCCCCATCCCCCAGCAACCCTCAATTTTTTTCCTGAGATTAAGAATCTCTTATAGTTTGTCTCCCTCTCAATCCCATCTTACTTCATTTTTTCCCTCCCTAGCACCCAAGACCCCCCGCCCTGCCT